TCACTAATCTTCTAACTATACATAAAAAAGATATTTGTAAGAAGTTTTCACATTTCTAAACTAATATAGTCTTATTACTTTCCTTAAATCAACTTGAAAAAACTTCAAGAGTTGTCAACTATTCTCCTTCCTCTTGTCTACTATTCTCTTTAAAAAAAAACTTGACCTTTAGTGATCACAAAGGTCAAGAAACACTTTTCCTATCAAAGGCAAAAAAGTTTTGAAAGGAAGAAGAACTAATGTGCTATTATCTTATACTATAAAGAAACATCACAGAAGTGTTGTCATAATGAGAGACAACTTTTCTACTCTCTTTGTCATCTGTTACTTCTTATAGTACTTGCTCATGATTTTTCTGGGGAACTTTGCCTACCTTAGTTTGATCCTGAATTTTAAGTAGCACAAAGTTTCTTATACTGTGATTGGATAGACAGCTTACATTAGTAAAAAAAAGTAAACAAGCTTCCATTGATCACTTCACATGTCTGAATATATTTTCTCAACTCCATAAGAACCTGGGATCCATCATAAGTTATTATGCCTGGTGTGGGTGAATACAGAACATAAAACCTCCTACATTAGTGGCCATCAGGAAAGAACAAGCTGCAATAAGACATATTGAATAAACAACAACTTTCTCATCTCCTATTCAGCAAATGGAAACCAATAACCTGATTATTATCTTTTTGAAAGATTTTGATATACTCATTTCTTTACAATAAATTAACAACAATAATACTAGTTATCAATATCTATTGAACAAGATTCATATATATCCCTTTCTCTCTTAAAATTTTCTTTTAGTGCTAGTGAAGTTAAGGCTTTATATAAGGGATCCCAATATCAGTGGTGCCAGGTATCTTAGATGAATCTTTAGCACATTAGCTCCCCTTTTCAGGAATAGCAATAAGCTACTCAGTGAATCTGAGCTTAATGAGTTTTAGGATCTAGAGAGTATCATGACATATTAGGTCTAGACATTCAATTTTTGATTTCTAGTTAGTTTGTTATAGTAAAGAAAAATATTTAGATTTGAAAGTCTTATAGTTACTCTATTCTGATAGAGTAAGATATAAAGAGTTAGCTCTTTGTACTATTCATTGATCTATAAATCCTTAGACAGTACAGGTAATTATTTATCCCAATTGTCTTTAGATATAGTCTTTATTATAATAAAGTATTGCCATTATGCATGGATAAGCTAACATTTAAAAAAAAAAAAAAATTGATAAAGTTATAAGTATTTTAAATTCAGAATAAAAAAAATAACCTAAATTATTTTAAATAAAAAAGGTTACCTAAAATTTTTTAAATAATATTTTTGAAAATAACAATCCATATAAATAAATATAATAAAAATATAAAATAAAAATATATATATTATTATATAAGATACATGAATTTGGATACTTATATAACATAAAAGAAATAAAAAATAAAAAATAAAAAAAATAATAATTGATTCTTTATTCATCTATACTTTTATTAATTTTATTTTTTTTTTGCCTTTTGTCAGGCTAGTTATATATGTTTTATTAAATATTTGTAAGCTGTATATATAACATGAGATGTTAAAGCTAATTCTTTAATTAACTCACTTATCTTGATTGTTTTACTTTTCTAAGTGCAACTTTGGAAATAATTTATTGTTCTATTAGGAGTTCAGGTAAATACCCTTCTAACTTTTAATATTATTGCCTATAGATTACTACTGCAGACTTCTATACTTTTATTAATGATTATTATTTATAATAAATAGAATTAACCTTCTTAATAGCATAATTCAATTATCTTTTTACATTATGATCTTTATTTGAAGGTGATTCAGAATTTTGTTATATGTATATGCTTGAGTTTAGTTTTCAAATATAAAATAGGCATAAATTATTATAGAAATATTGTTTCCTAGATTTGACTTAGAGTATTTCAATGTAACAATAAATTAATTATTATGTGAAAAAATTTGTAATATTGTTAATAGTTATAAACTTTTTAATAAATATTAAGCTAAATAATATGGTTATAAATTAAAATAATAAGAATAATAATATGAATAATATTTTAATAGTTTTGTAATCTTTAATAAGAAAAATTCACAATTTAAAACTTATTCAAACTAGTATTCAGATATAAGTATTAAAATTTAATTTTTTAATTATATTATTATATATTTTAATTTATTTCACAGAATATTTATATTTAATTAATAGTATAATCAGTAATTAAATATTATTTATTTATTTTTTCTTTTTATTAATACAAACTTATTAAACAAAGCAAAAAAAAATTTTATATTAATTTATTATATATTAAAATTGATTTTTATATAGATTTATTTATATATAGTATATTTATAGGTATTATTAGAATTATCTGCAGTAGTTACCTGCAGGCGAACTACTAATGAAGTGACAAATTACTTTAGAAGTTGTACTTATAGTTAATTAAAATAAGACGAGTGAGCTAAAGAATTAGCTTTAGTGATATTACATTAATATACTATATATATAGTCTACAAATGTTTAATAACTAGCTTGACAGAGGGTAAAAAAAATAGATACTATTAGGATCCAAAGGACCGATTCTGAGTCTATTATTGACCCTTTGTGATTTTGGTTCCTGATAACTAACATCATAGTCACGTGATTAAACTGGATTTTTTTAAAAGAAAAACGCGTATAGCAAAATTTCCATTATATCGCTATATCGAATATCCGTTATATTGAGTTTTACTGTGTAATCACGTTCAAAATCACGAATATTTGAACGAAATCCCGAGGTTTTGAGTATTATTGATTTCTTAAACGAGTATGAGGTAGAACCGTATGACGCAAAGATAGATAAGTACACAAGAATTCTCAAAGCCATCGCTAATGATCAGCAAGGAGAGAGGACTAAAAAAGCGCAATCACTTCTCGACAGTTTTATGCTGACAAGTAAAGATAAGTAAGGATTCTTTTAATCGTGGCATGAATGGGGGACTGTTAGGTTGTCGGTCATTCAAGGCTGTTAGCTGAGCCACAAAACTGGTGCTGGGGCATAGGTGACTTGTTAGGTTATCTGATGTCAAAGGCTGTTAGCTAATCCAGCACTGGACCCACTGATGCACAGTTGGCTTTATAGGTTGGCTGACGTTTTAGTGGAATTGTAAAAATTAGTTGAAAATTATCAATTTCCAAAATTTTCACGCTAGTCGAAAAATAAAGTAAGAATAATAAAGATAAATGCTTATTGATCAAAGCAAGTATTTATTAACGAAATAGCAGATAAACTTATACATATAGATCCAAAGTCTTCAACCTGATCGCACAAAAGCAAAAAAATGGGAAAAATGAGAAAGGAAGCGTACTCAAAAGCAAATTCACATCCACCCTGAATCTAAACGCGAGGATTGTAATAAATGGAGGAACGGTCAAAAATATAAACGTAAAGTAAATTTATGTCAGGAAGGAATAATAATGAGTTACGAGGGTGTAATTTGTTAATGAGAATTGGCAAAAGTTTAACCGTCTAATAAATTTAGTGCATTTAGTCCGTGAATGATTTCCAACTTCCAAAAAAGCGGGAAAACAGCTATCTGTGTCTACAGAATAAAGAGTCTGTTAGCTCAGCTATATTAAGAAGGTTAGTGT